CGCCCAAATGTGTTTTTAGGTAAATGACAGTACATATATATCATGGGATGCTACGTGGAAAAGAATAGTGATATGGTAGAATATTAGTAATGTCACCTCAACCATTGGTGGTGTTGGGGAAATTGTACTTGATCCTTTATGCTTCTCTATATTGTTGAGATATTTATAATGAGCATATATTACTTAGAGGAAACAGGAAGTTTTCCTCCTTCTAAAAATTGCTAGGTAGGTCCTGGCTGGGTAGCTCCATTGGTTAGAGCGTAGTCCTGATACTCCAAGGTTTCAGGTTCAATCACCAGTCAGGGCACATACAAGAAGCCAATGAATGCATAAATATGTGGGACAACAAATCTCTCTCTCTCTCTCCCCCCCTCCCTTCCCTCTCTCTAAAATCAATAAATTAAAAAATTGTAACTGCTAGGCGATCCGTGGTGTGTGTGCGCTGTCCTTAGACATCTCCTTAAACACAGCAGACTACATTCCACTTCCAGCCCCACCCCCTACATACGTCCCATGGGAAGTTCCTTAAATGCACTGAGTTGAACTTTCCTTATCTGCTGACATCTACAGTACAGGTGTGACGGTTTCTGGGTGAGTGTGTGAATATTAAATAACTGGCGTTACATTACAAATTTAACCGGATCTTCTGAAACCTAAAGCCGCCGCTGTTCTCCCGTATGTTCTCTCTGCTCTTCCCTGGTCCTGAGTCGGCTCCCTGTTTTTGGCTGGGGAGAGAGCGGCAGCGAGTGCCCACGGAGGACGTACCGCCCCAGAACAAAGATGGGTTTTACTTCAAGTTCAGGATTCAGGACTTGAAATGCCAACTTTCATCTGCAAGGCCAGACCCAGGAGAGAGGAGTGTTCTGACCATGCAGCCGTCGGCTGACCACGGAGAGCCACCGGCCAAGCCAGCCTAGACCAGACCTGCTCGCTGACCCAGAGTCATGGAACATTGTTCAGAAGTGCTTGTTGTTCTGAGCCACTGAGTGATCAGGTCACTTATCACTGAGCGACAAGTAACATGTAGGAGACTTCCGGGTTTTTTAATACATAATTGTCTCCATAAAGTCTGCAGCATGAGGGGCACATTTATTTATGATACTGACATAGTTTTGTTTTGATTTTGAATACCTTTGGAATTACACTGTATAAGTGTTCATTGTTGATGTATAGCATGTAACTGATTTTTGGACATGAACCTTACTAAGTCTTACAGTTTGCTTTTATTTTCTCCTGGGTTCCCTCTGGAGAAAATCATTATTTGCAGTAGATGCGTCGTTAACCATCAATACCTGCTGCGCTAACCAAGCTGCCCGTGCAGCCTTACCCAGCGGGGCCACTGGGCCTGAGCCCGCTCCCGGCTCGCAGGGCCACCGAAACTGCCAAACATGCACATGGTGACAGCGACCTTCCACGTCCCCTTCAGCAGGCCCTTCTCAGTACCCAGGGCCTTGGGGATTCTTCTTTCGGCCGCCAGTTCGGGGAATGGCCCTGACGCTATCACATAACTGCAATTTGCTTCTTTCATCTGTTTTTCCTCTGACTTCCTGTTCCCTCTCGTTTTCCAGGTAACCCCTTAAGCCTCTCTGTTCCTTATTTCCCCTCCCTCCCTCCCAGCCCCACATTAATTCTCTGCCTGCCTCTCCCAGCTCTTCGTCAGTAAGGCCCCCAAAGAACAGGATGACACGGCCATTTCAAATCATTATTTCAAATCACAGTTGCGATGTCCCCATCCCGACCCAATGCCACAGACTGACAGGTTGGCTTGGATTTACCACCAGAGAAAGCCAGACAGAGTCGCCCTAAAGGTGATTACGGGCCTCCACCCCACCTGCCTGGACGGTCCCCCTGGAAGCAGCAGAGAACAGAGATGTCACCAGACAATGGCTCAACGTCCAAAGCCCTACGAAACCAAGGCTTCCATTGCTCTGAGATCTGCGCTCGGGTGCACGGGGCAAGGAGCTCAGCCAGGCACCTGGAGAGAACAGGGCAGCAGGCTCTCTGAAGTCCCTAGAGTTCTTCGGACCAAAGGAAGTTTCCATTGGTGCCTGGTGATCTGGCCTTGGCCTGCCCTCCTGATCTCTGCTCCCTTCCTTGCAGCACAGAACCCAGTCTCCAGGAGCACAGTCCTCAAAGTCCCGCCAGGACCCCTGTGCTCTCTGCAGCTTTCCCGACTGGAAGTCACCCCACTCCCCATCTCTCACGTGCCCCTTCTCCAGCCCAGCAGTGACACCTCGCTTTTACAGGTCACAGAAGACACCCCTTTGCCTTGGAAAGATGCCTGATGGCCCCGCACGTCTCGCCCCAGTAGCTGCATCCAGGCACCAACCACCGGCCAGTGGGCCAGGCTGGCTCTCCCTCTCCCAGTGAGCTCTCTGACTGCGGGGCTCTGCCCCAACCCCCGCCTTGCTGCAGGCACAAGCCGGGGCTCCCATTCAACTTGCATAAATGACTGTCACCTGGCTGTGACCAGAAGCAACAGGAACTGGGACAATCCAAGTTGTGATGATAAGCACCCCTGACAGTAGGAGTTTCATTCAGTGGGAAGTGGGGGAGTGGGGTTCTGGGAAATGCTGCTTTGGGCTCAGGAGGGCAGACCGGCCCCCTCCCCCAGGCCTGCCACCCACGACCCCTCACTGGGGCCGCTCCGCCCCTCTGCACTGGGCGAGTGAACCACTCACACGTGTAGAGGTGCTAGGCCGACTGTTCACCAGGGATGCTGAGCCTGCGCCTGCAGCCGAAGGAAAGGACTGTGTTCGGAGGAATGGGAAATGGGGTGGGGATCTCTGGGCAAAAGTCCAGAAAGAGATATTTATTCAGAGGGCGCCTCAGCCTCCCAAGCCCAGAAAAGGAGTCACATGAAATAAAGGACCGGAGAACGCAGTGCCCGCCACATCATCCCTCAGAGCGAGGGCCCCTTCTGCAGATGCTGGAGTCAGAGGACCGAACTCGCCCATGTATGAGGTCGTCGTGACAAGGCGAGGAGGCATGTGCCACGTCGGAGTGCGTGGGTGTCTCCACAACCACTGTCCCCCTGGGAGAAACATCCGTGCCCTGAACACAGCCCTGGTGACCAGCACCGATTCTGCCCGAAGAAATACAATCCAGTGGAGCAAACACGGTGTAGGTGAACAGTGGGGACTATAGATCGGCTGAGTTTTTGTTGTTGTTAATCCTCACCCAAGGATATTTTCCCATTGATTTTCAGAGGGGGTTGGGGGGAGCGAGAAACATCAAAGTGAGAGAGACACATCGATTGGTTGCTTCCTGCATGTGTCCTGACCAGGGCTGCGGATCAAACCTGCAACCCAGGTTCATGCCCTTGACCTGGACTCAAGCCCGTGACCTTCGGTGCATAGGCTGATGCTCCAGCTGCTGAGCACACCAGCCAGGGTGAGATTTGTTAATAATTTTAATTTCAGGAGTATAAGAGTCCGTGTATAGAAGAGCCGTAAGAAGGCAGAAATCAAGGCTATCATCACTCAGAGAAATTATGAAGATTAACAATATTCACTCTAAATCAATAATCTTACATACCATTAAACAGAGGGCTAATAACCCTGGCCGGTTTGGCTCAGTGGTTAGAGCGTCAGCCCACCGACCAGTGAGTCGATCGCGGGTTCAATTCCGGTCAAGGGCACGTACCTCAGTTGCGATTCATCCCCAGCCCTGGTTGGGATGTGCGGGAGGCAGCCACTCGATGTATTCCTTTCCTGTTGATGTTTCTGTTTCTCTTTCTCTCTCTCTTCCTCTCCCTGCCTCCCATTCTACCTGAACAAAAATGGAAAAATGTCCTCGGGTGAGGATTAAAAATAAATAAATAAATAGAGGGCTGATAAATCCTGACCCCAGGGCATGAAATAGGATGGCAGGACACATGGGAGAAGACTACAGTGTTCCATGTTCCCTCCCTCTCACTCAGCTGATAAAGGGAATTTACCTCACATTCACATAGATGGATAGGCAGGGAGGGAAAACCAATTTGGACTTAACCCAAAATAAACAAACAAAACCCACTAAGACCCAAAGAAGAAAGCCTATAGCCTGGCACATTTGTTGGGCATGACAGATTTGGTGCCGAAGCCAAGCCTGACCCCCAAATGCAGGTGTGTTAATTGTACCTCACAAAGCAGAAGGGCCCTGCTTTTAATCAAGTATCAAACGCGTCAAGAGGAAATGGAACATTAGCAGTGAGCTTCCTCAAGTGTAATTTCCTGTAAGAGAAATTTACAGCCTGCACTTACTCTCCATTAGAGTACGTCTAACTTCTTTCATTAGTTTCTTCAGCAAGACAGCCCTGGGTTCGGGCCAGCTCTGCGAACCCTCAAGTCATCGGGAAAGGGATCTCCGGGGATTTCTCCTCCTGGGCCAGTAGGGTTTTCCAGACCCTAACACCACCAGCAGAAGCAGCCGTGGTGCATGTAGCAGCAGAAGGTTTTTAGGGAGTCCCCAAAGGCAATCCACAGAGCAAGCCCCAGGGGCTACACTAGCTATAAAATGAACATCTAAAATGTACTTTGAAATGAAATGATTTTCTGTTTGCCATATGAGGTTTGTGATTGCCTCTCAAAAAGCATTGCTTCTATTGCTTTTATGGCCAGGTTCAATTTCTTATTTAGTGATGTAATAAAGGGGTGCTTTAGAACGGGGAGCAAGGACTTCCGAATCAATGAGCAGATGTATCCCTCATCTGCGGGGCACCTCTCCCCTTGACACCCAGCTCATTTCCTAATTTCTGAGCAACCCGCGCCGGCCCCGAAACTGGGGACACAGGCAGAGCTGTTTCTCTCCCTTTACCGTGGAGCCCCCACCCAGACCCAGCCCCGCCAAAGACAGCGACCCCAACCCTACGCTGAGCTTTCTCCGGGTCTCTGGGGTGCGTCGCTCTTTCTGTGAATAATGGAACTTGAACTTTATTGTGATAAAGGCAACGCACCTGATATTTACCACCTGGCACTGGAGACCAGAATGGAGAGAGAGTAGGAGGAAGAACATCTTACCTTGTTTTAAGGATATTCAGAAACTGCAAGATTTCTGAAAACTGGATCAGTCTGAGAGCCCTTAAAAATCTCAAACCTGAAAAGAGAAATGAAGAGACGTTATTTTCAGCACGTGGCATCGATGTTCGCAGTGTGATTTGCAGCTGCCAGGGGTGAAGGGGGACAAAGTCCTTGCAGAGTCGCCTCTCAGTACCTCGGACCCATCTTTCATCCAGATCCGTGACGGGTTCAGTCTCAGCTGCTCACACTGACTCTCACTAGAGGAGGCTGTTTGGAGCCACTGTGAGAGAGTCCATTTAACAGGTCCTCTCTCCTGTCCGTCTCTGATCTAAGGCACTGTTTCGAAGTTACCTTGTTGCCTGACAGGATTACGTCTCTGAAAAATTACTGGGAATATCTCAATGTAACCTTTATGCTAAGAGCAGATTAGGAACAAATCAAATAACCTTGTCTTTGACGGACTTTCTAAAATCTTCCTCTGCATCCTGAAAACATGAAGAGTATGGCCTGCGTGTTCTCTGTTTTCTACAATCTCACACCCTATAACTTCAAGCTTCCAAACTTAGATACTTCCACTGTCTACTGCGTGCCAAGATCAAGGTTTCTCCTCCGAATCAGCAGCCTCTCTCAGTGGAGAAGAGCCAGTGTTTCTAGGGGGCAGAGGAGCGGGAGACGGAAAGAAACACGATCAAGGATTAAAGAAACTTCAAGTTATTGTTGTGTTTTAATAGCCAAGGGTAAAACATATTTCTGCTGAGATCAAATCTGTGAGTCAGAAACATTCTGAGTCCCACGTGGGTTTTAACGCTTGGCTGTCCTACGAGAGACTGGCTTACTGACAGCAGGGCTTTGAGACATGTTCGATGGCACATCCTCTCCCAAAGGGAGTTTCTTTAGCAGATTTTCCTAAAGCATTCTATCCAGTGCCCCCACGTGCCAGGCACAGCTAAGTGCCAAGTGGGCTAAGCTGTTGACAATGGCGAGACTTTTTCTGCCCCCATATGTGAGACAGTAAGGGGGTACAGAGGTGAATGCACAGAGGTGGGAAGAAACAGAGGGAAGAAGTGGTAGTGAGTCACCAGACACCCAGGATGAATCAAGGAGAGCAGACAGACCGGAAGTTTCCCTAAACAGCTCTACTTACTCCTTATTCAAGTACAAGGAAAAAGCTAATTTAAAGCCCATGGGGTGGGGGAGTGGGGGGTCCCATGCACAAGAGAGAAAAGAGGATAATGTCTCAAAAAGAAAAATTCTCATCTGAATAGGATTTACCTTCATGAACAAAAGATTATTTTCAGAAAACATTCACCTTCTATTTTAAATGATATTCATATCAAAATGATATCTTGTTTTCTTAAACAAGAAAGTGCAGAGATGAGAAGGGATGTTGGTGAAATGAAGAGACTCAAGAGTCCAAAACAGAGTCCTAGCCAAACTGATGAAGGTTGACTGAACACTGCTGAACACTGACCTTGATGCAGAGGACAAAACTGAGAGGTCATCTCAGACTACAGGAAAAATAAGGAAAAGAGAGAGAGAGAACATTAAGCTTAAGAAACTATAAATGGAGAGAAGATCACAAAGGGAAGTACAGACAAGATTATAAGTATGGTCAGGACATAATAGGAATGAACTTTCTAGATATGAAACAGATTCTAGATTAAAGGGTAAAATTGATGGCCGGCTCTTAGAAACCAGTGTTGCGAAGTACTTGATTTTTTTCCTCTAAAGATCAAGTATTAAAATAAATTTAAAAATAAACACAAAGGGTCAGGTGGGGAAAGGATTAGCTTTAATGCAACTAAGATCACATTATGCAACAGGAAGTTTTACATGACAATCAAGCAGTGCTCAGAATTTTCAGACAACAGGGTCAGGCCCCAGATTTGCATACCTGGCCCAGTAGTTATTCAATAGTAAAGGCAACAAAAAATATTTTCAAATATCTAAGGTCTCAGAAAATATATTGTTTGTGAGAAAGCATTTTCAAAGCAGTTTGCAAGCTTTATTCAATCAGAACAAGTAGTAGGAGCTGGAAAGTGTATTTTGATCAATTTCTACTATTGGTCCTAAGCATCCAGCCCAACGCAGGTGGCTGACCTCACTCCAGCACTGTGGGCACATGCTGCTGGGAGATAAAATATTACATAAGAAACTCGGGCTAGAGGAAGACTGGCAACACTGACCCCAGCCAAGGACATAAGGAGTCTTTAGTAATGTATTGGCCACTGATGGACTCATTCCGAAAATTCTGTGTGTGCATGGACATATATTCACTTATGGAAATAAAAACAGAATACAAATGACCTAAACTTCTAAACAGCTTTCTTTCTTTGTATCTTTAAGTGATGCCACTTGCATCCTACATTGTTCTTATGTAGCTCGTCACTCTTTAAAGTGACTCACAAAAACAAAAGAATAAAAGCTTTTCTTTTTCAATAAGGTATATGAAAATCAGGGTAGAAAAAAATGCACGCTGCAGCCACAAGCTCCCGTTCTCTGCTAGAGGTAAACTGGAGTCCAGCTCTGAACCGTCTGCCAACAAAAGCAAGCAGGGAGACACGATAAGATTAATAATGTATAAAAGAGAAAAACAAGCTGGCCCTCAGGAGAACAATTATCTCAGGGTGGAAACCCGAGAAAAACGTCCCTGAAAGGGGCCCAGGGTGAAGCAGGAGCAGTGATCTCATGGATGGAACAGCAGAACATAAGAAAGTTCAACACTGGTTAAAAAAATCAGTCTACATGTTATCCTTAGATCAAGCCACAGTTCACAACAGCTCCTCACTGCTTTCTGCCCTGGACTCCTTATGGTCTATTCTCCTCACAGGAATCAGAGTGAACTTGTTAAAGGTAAAATGGATCTTGTCTCTCCTCCTCTGCTCAAAATCCTCCAATTCCCCCATTTCACACAAAGTCAAAGTCGTTCAAGGACCTAAAGCAAGGTCGCCCCCCTCTCCTTTTGGACTCCTTCTCCTCCTCGCATCACCTTCCCTCTGGTCTGGCTGTCTTCTTCAGTGACCCCCGACTGCAGGCATGCTTCTGCCTCAGGGCCTTTGTACCCGCTGTCCTCTCTGCCAGGAATACTCTTGCCCAGATGTCCACCTGATGCGCCCCTGACCTCCTTCATGTGTTTACTCAGTGTCACTATCTCAGTGAAACCATCCCTGGTTACTCTACCCAAAACTGGAACTCTCCCCTCGCTCTCCCTATGTCAGAGTACATAGTTATTAAGAAAAGAGAAGAGAGCAAACTAAGTCTGAGTAAGTTGGGAAACAAGTTTCAGTCACCCCAGGGAGTAGCCAGCATCTTTCTGACAATATCCTGCCTAGCGGACTAAGTTGGACAGACAACTTTACAGACACCCTGGGTGGGCTGGGGAACCAGCATCCCCTTACCCAGAGTAACAGGGGAAAGAGAAAACATCCTTGCCTGAGTAATTGTGCAGAAGTCAAATGAGGAAGCAGAACTATGAGGCATGTGCAGTAGAAGCCAAAATGACGACCACAAAAGCAGGAAGAGACTAGCCTGGAAAAGGATCAGACTGGAGAAGGGCACAAGCCCCCAGAAGATCCAGGAAAGAGATTGGATAGGGGGTGGGCATTAGCACAGACCCGGGAAAAGCCAGGAAAGAGACTAGATGGGAGGAGGGCACCAGCACAGGCCTGGGAAAGGCCTGGGAAGAGACTGGATGGAGGAGGGCACCAGCACAGGCCTGGGAAAGGCCAGGGAAGAGACTGGGTGGTTTGAAGAAAGCCTGCTCTTTTCCAAACCCAAGGAAATACATGGAGGCTCAGGAAGGACCTGGGGGCAGCTGCTGCCCTACAGCCTGCCCGCTCTCTCCACTTCTCCCAGAGGGTACTATCACTTGTCACTCTAATAAACCTTGCCACTATCACTAAACTCCTTTTATGTGAGTGTCCCTGAAATTATTTTCCTGGAACAACACACAAGAGCCCATTTCTGCCAGTTACACCCCAGCTCTCTCTCTCTCTCTTTTTTTTTTTAAAGAGAAGTTTATTTTTTAATATGTTTTTATTAATTTTTTTGAGAGAGAGAGAGAGAAACATCAATCAGCTGCCTCCAGCACGCCCCCCACCGGGGATCGAGCCTAAAACCCAGGCATGTGCCCCAACCTGGAATCAAATGGGGACCTCTCAGTCCTTGGGAGGATGCTCAGTCCACAGAACCACACCAGCCAGGCAACACCCCGTCTCTTTATTTGTCTTACCTGCTGTTCTTTTCTCCTCAGTATAAAGCACATGCATCTTATTTATGTAATTTGCTTTCTTTCTACTTAGCTATAGCAGCAGTTCCGTGAGGGGAGGAACTGATGTCTGTTTTGTTCGTGGCTGTGTTTCATGTACCTAAAATAGTGCCTGGCATATGGTGGATGCCCAATGAATGTCTGCTTGAATTAAATGAAAAAATCAGACTTGAAAAGGAATTAGATGGCCGAGAGCTAAAGGTTAGATACCCTGCATTCAGAACCACACGTTGCTGGCCAAAGGGGAAATCCAAGAGCTCTGAGGTCGGGGCTAATGCTCACAGGAAATTCAAAGCCACCTAACCAAGGAAGAGCCTTAACCACTGGCCACTCTGCTGCACCCAGAGAGGGCCCTGAGGGGTAGGGCAGCAACTCAGATTACATAAAGGAGGCCAAGAGAAGGGAGGTAGGAGGGTCAATGCCTGAGTGACAAATTATTCATCTTCTCTGCTTTATACTACTATATTCTTATTATTTATCCCATAAAATTAAAAATCTCTGAAATAAAATGACCTTTCAGGGAAACAGAAAATGGCTATAACAGAATTGTGAACAAAATGTGTGTGTACCAAAAATCATGAAGTATGCCCCCATCCCCAAAGGTACCATGTCCAGATGGTTTTACAAGTGAGTTCTTTCAGACAGTCAAGAAAGAGCAAACTTCCCTACAGAATTTATGATTCTACAATCAATTTTTATTATATAGTAATAAAAATATTTGTCTCCATTTTCCTATACTCTACATTGGTTTATAAAGCTGGCATTAGCTGAACACAGGCAGCCCACACGTGCCCCACAAAGGGCATGTT